CACAGCTCATGAGAGACAAGCTGGGAGTGTGAATGACCGGGCCTCTGCTAGAACTCTCCCTTTGTGCCAAATCCCCATTCCCTGTACTGAGCATCTCTATCTGGAATCAAACAAGATAGCCGGATGTGAAGGATAGAATTCTGGGATCCTGTGGTGGTAATGATGGAGGATATCAGGGAGAAGTTGACTGAATTTTGGAGGTGGGATTATGGGATACACCTCCAGGAGGAGTGTCACCTCCAAGGAGGAGAATATTGACTCTTGGGGATGAAAACTCATGGCTGAATATTACTTCCTCTTGTTCACTTTTACATATATGCATATGTATGTGTGTATATGTATTATATATACATATGTATATATGCATATATGTGTATATTTATCTTTTCAATTATACTAAACACTTTTTAATGAATTTTTTATGACCCTCAGAGTATTTTAGCAACTCTATAGCTTCTGAAAATCATTCCCACATCTAGGTCCTCCATAATGTAGGAAATGCCTTGATGATGTTTCTTTGAGGGAGTTATTTCACGTCAACATAAATGAGGTTGAAGCTGATCCCTGTGGACAAGATGATAGGGATCTGGAGCCTAGGGTTGTAAGAACAGATTTAAGAAATCAGTCTCCCTGATCCTGACCCTCTGAGACCATAAGTCATCCATGAACCTTTCTCTCTCTCTCTTTGTCTAACTCTTTCTATCTCTCTTCCTCTACTTCCCTCCTTCCCTCCCTCTATCCCTTCACCCCCCTCTACTTGTCTCTCCCTCCCTTCTTCCTTCCCCTCTTCCTTTCCTCACTTACTCAAAGTTTTGAAGAATAAAATACACTTCTAAATGAAAACAACAAATCCAGGAATGAAGATGAACACCACTACAATAGAAGGCAGGTATCAGGGTCAATTCTGGAAAAATGCCTCTGAAAAACAGTCTGAGACCTCTTAATGTTTAACTGCAAAGGCCACTTGATTTTCATTTAAAGAATCTTCATTGCAAGGATATATTTATGTCAGTTCTTCTATATGTTAAAAGTTTTCCTGCTCTCTAACTAAATCTTCAACTCATCTCTGCTATCTCTGGTTTCCAAAGAATAAGATCATCCCACTGAAACACATTCATGGCCCTTGTGCTCATGTTGCTTGTCAGTTTCCTCAATCTGGGGTCAGGTAAGCTATCCAGGACAGACTCTTTCTGTCCACTTCTTGTTGACTAGCAGTTTGAGTTCTTTACTTGCTATTGCAGAGCAATGGGGTAGGTGCATCTTTGTTGTTTCTATTTCCCTGACTTCTCTTAGTTCAAGCTGGAGTTTAGCAATATCAGGGGCTGCAGGAGGCATGGGCCAGTGGGAAGGATTCAGGCATATCTAAGAAATGCTGTGTGTGGAGTGTTGAAGAGAGGTCAAAGTAGTGGGGAAGGAAATTACTTGTTCTCAATGATGAGGTCTGAGGGTTTAAGCAAGAAAGGTCTCTAGAATATCTCACTTTCTGAATTGGATGCCAGTATGAGAGAAGACACTTGAGGAAAAGACAATGGTCAAGCTGCGGGCATGCTGAGGGTAGGAAAGATGTCCAGAATTTGACTCAGAATCTAGCTTATTTGGGGTAGAAATCCAGTCTTCTTTCTCCTCCCTGTTACCACAAAAAATAAAACCTACTTTATAATGCATTAAGTAGTTGATTGTTTAAAAAAGGAAGTCTGAGTATGCAAAGGTATCTGGGCAGTCAGTGCTCAGCCATATAAGGTTCGGCTGAGTCTTCCTTTCCCTGTATGAAGGATCCATCCATTGCCTGTCTACCTATGTCTGCTTTGCTAAACAACAGTGAGAAAATGGGAACAAAGGCATTCAAAACTTACTCAACATAACAATAGTATGACTATAATTCACAATAGCCTATTACATATTTTATGAAAAACTGTAAGAGAAGACCACAAATTCTCCAATCACAAGGAAATTTTACAGAGAGGAAAATGTCAATTTTCCTGATATATAGCAAACAATTATATTAAATTGTCACACAGTACCCCATAAAGATACACAATTAAAATTCTAAAAATTAATTTTAAAACACATACTGACTTATTAGCCTATATTAATTATACAAAGTAATGGGTTTCATTATGACATTTTCATAAATAAACATAGCATACTTTGATCACATGCATTCCTTTATTACCCTTTTTTCTCCCCCTTTCCTTTTTTCATTTCCACAATCAAGTTTTTCCCTTTTTACTTTCATGTACTTTTCCCCCATAAGTTCCACATATGAGAGAAAAACATGACATGTGTCTCTCTGATACTAGATTACTTCTCTTAGCATGCTGATCTCCAATTCTATCCATTTTCCTGCAAATAATACAGCTTAATTCTTTATGGCTAAATTAAACTATTTTGTGAATATACATGACATTTCCTCTATCTACACACCTGTTGATGGGCTTCAATAAAAAATATGATATAAAATGTTGGGGATGTGCCTTAAGTGTTAGAACACTTGCCTAGCAGGCTCAAACCCTGAGTTCTAAACAATAGGAGTAACAAAAATAAAAATAATACTAAAAATGTATGCTTTCACAACAAAATCTACGTTACTCTTAAGACTGCCTCTCATTTACCTTCATTCTCACCCATTTTCTGATGAGCTTCTCTGCTTCTGTGCTGTTTCAGGAGAGGCACAGCAGGGAAATAATGAATACAGAGACGGAAAGACTTCATTTTTAACATTTCCTTTTCCTCGGCATTTGAGCTTTGTGGATCAGAACTTCTCACCCTGTTTGCTTGTTATGACATGGAGCTCGTATCACATTCTTGCATAGGACCGTTAGAGGACTACATGCGGTTATAATACAAAGTACCCAGTACTAATGTTTGATGCCAGTTTTTTCCCCAGTGCTCCCCAGTTAAAGAAACAGTAAAAGAGTTGAAAATGCTGCTATAGGCAAGATAAACTGCAAGTTCAGCAAGGGCCACCTACCTGACTTAGACTGGGTTCTCCAAAGCAGATCCAGTGACAAGGGCTGATCTGCAGGTGGTTTGTTTAGGAGATGATTCTGACAAACAGATTGAGAGAGTGGAGAGTAAAGCCTGAGGCCATTGGGGATGTGCTAAAGAGAAAGCTACTGCTGACAGCGACTGGGACTCAGGCCCACTAGGACCTTCTGGGAACCTTTAGTGGAATCCTTTAGACAGTGGCTCAGCATAATCTCAATGAGAATGGGGAGAGTTTGAACTTTATCTGCCACCTCTCATCCATCATAGAGGTACCCCAAAGGTTGTTAAAATATCAGGACTTCTGAGTTTCCCTATTCCTGAGACCACTAAGTTCCAAATGGGAGAGGAGGCCAACAGCAAAGGGAGCAGAGAGGTGAGTTTCCTGAGGTGGAGCTGTCAGCAGGTGTGGGGCTTGCACATTCTACTGCAGGTACTCATAGACTGAGGACATGGTTAGTGGTAGGTTCTCAACCTCTGCTATGCCAGATTAGTTGGTCAGAGACCATGCTACAAAGTCAAATTGATCTATAAATCATCTACTGAAAGAATGTGTGAAATTCATTTCAGAAAGATATATAAAACATATACTTAAATTAGAAATAATTGGTGCTAAAATTAAAATTTTCACTTATTTTGGAATTAACACAAAAAACCTGTCTTGTCCTATTCATAGCACCCCCTCCAGTTAGATGCATAAATTCATCAATGAATCTTTGTGAATTAATCAAGAGAAATTGTCTCTAGTTAAAGAGGCAGTGTAGAGAGAAATTGAAGGATTGAGCTTCACAATGTGTGAGCTCTGTAAAAAAGTCTATTACAAAGTGGTAAGTACCATTTATATCAGGAAAATTCATGAAATGACCATCAAATGGATGAGTAAGGAAGGAAGGAAAATGGTGGTCACCATTCACAATTGTAGCCCTCATTTGTGAGGCTCATACTCTGTGCTGGACATGGGAAGCAATGCTGACCAAAACAGACCCTGTCCACATAGAGCTGAGAGATGTGCAGGGGAAACTCCCAGAAAACAAATCATTATCACACTTGAAACCAGATGACGAGGAAAATTTCAAAATGGAGGCAAGGGCCAAGACATATCAAGAAAATATGAACAGATAAGACATGTCAAAAAACAAAGGAAGTGCTAGGGATGGCCAAAGTCATGAACTAGATAAATATTATCACATAAGTGTAAAAGTACTTGATATAGAAATATTATGCCACAGTGTGAATGCACTAAAGGAGAAACCTGTGATATAAAAACTTGAAAATCTCCTTGTCACAGTGTCATAGGGCGTCTTTCAGATTTTGATAACTTAAACAACAAAACAAGGAAGCAGAAATAAATGTCTCACTTACAATCAAAGTGTACATTGTATATATCTTCCTTGTATTTGTGAAATGTTTATGAAATATACTCATGAATTTGAAGGAAACATTTTGTACCAAATTTGGATTTATGGTCATATTGATCCCCCTTGAGTTTTTGAGAGAGCGATAGTCTTTGATTTTTAGTGAAAAAGATGGAAAAGTGGTTGTAGTATTTTAGTGAAGTAGGTATGTAGATGAAAAGAACGTGGCTTTAAATTCTCCGCTAGTCAGTGAGTCTGCATTTGGAAAGTGCCTCTCATTCATCTGGATAATGTTCTTACTGTTTCTGAAAAATCATTTTTCAACTTGAAAATAGGAATATTAATAAGATACACCTCTAGGGTTATCCTTGAGGCATGAGGGAGGTAACTCATGTGGGTATGTCAAGTGTAAGAGATGTCTGTCCCTTGGTGTAGTAAGGTGATCGTGATGAGCGTTCTAAACACGTGCACTTCACCTCCTCACTCTAGTCCTGCATAGGCCACACTGACATGGTGATCACGTTTGGTCAGTTACCATTTGTGTTTCTTCACATAGGTCAGTGACAGTTTGTTGGGTTAGACAAGCCCATCCAGGTCTTTATAGGAGAGGAGGTAGTTTGTTCTGCTTCCTCTCTCCTGAGGCAAATGGCTAGGCCATAGAAGTATGGTTCTTTACATGGTCACTTCTCTGACTTAGTCCACCTGTACCAAGATGGTAAAGACAAGAAAGACATGCAGATGCCAGCCTATCAAGGGAGAACAGAGCTGGTGAAGGACTTCATTGTAGAAGGGTTTGTGTTCCTGAGGTTGCAGAAAGTCTCTCCCTCAGATGCTGGCCTGTGTGGGTTCTGGTTCTGCTCCCAGATCTTGAGCAGGAGGGCATCTGCAAACTGCGGGTAACAGGTCAGCTCCTAATTTCAGAGAACGCATAACTGACTTGTCTTGTGGAATCATCCTGGGCTTTATAAACAGTTGTATGAAAGAGAAGACTTCTTTCTTATGTCATTTTCTTAGCAGACAGTATCCTACATGACCACTTTGTTATGTCTTGTGTGTAGAATTTTATCATCTTATCACATATGTACATTCATGTAATTATCCCATCAAATAACTGAATTGTCTCCTCACCACAAGATATCTCTCTGCTGCCCTTTTATAGTCACACTCTCCTCTCTCACCACTGTCCCCTATCCTACAAATTACTAGTCTGGTCTGAATCACTGTAATTTTTACAATTTAAGAATGTTATTTAATAATGGAATCATATATATGTGGCCTTTAGAGATCGAATTTTCATTTAGCATAATGACTTTGAGATCCATTCAGCTTGTTGCTTTTATCATTATCTCACTCCTTTTAATTGCTGGATACAACCATAGGTAGGTCTTTGTATGGATGTAAGTTTTCATTTCTCTCAGAAACATGGCCATGAGTACAATTGCTAGGACGTATGATAAGTGCATGTTTAGTTTTTACCCTTTTACTTCATAATGTGCCTGTCAATTTGGGCTTCTATAACAAAATACCATAGCCTGTGTAGTTTACAGTAAAGAACAGAAATTTTATTTCTCACAGTGTAGAAATCCAATATGAGGATGCAGTAAGGTTAGGTTCTCATGAGGACCTTTATTTGGTTGCAACCTATGGACTTTCAATGTAATCTTACACTAGCTCCCTGGAATGCCCATTCATGAGGGCTCCAACCTAATGACCTGGTTAGCCTCCCATATTATAATTTTACTTTTTCCTTTCTAGTTTAGAGGTTCTTTATATCTTTTCTTTCTTAATTGCTCTGGTTAGAACTTCCAGTACTCTATTGAACACAAATGCCAAAAAGTGCTCATCTTTCTCTTGCTGTTGATCATAGAGGGAAAAATTTTAGTCCTTTCCCATTGAGTATGATGTTCACTGTGAGTTTGACACATATGGCCTTTTTATGCTAAGAACATTTCATTCTAGCCCTCGTTTGTCAAATATTTTTTGTGATGACCATTTATTGAATATTATGAAATGACTTTTTTGGTACCAGTTGAGATAACCACTCCCTTTTACTTGCTGTATTATATTACATTTCATCATGGAGAGATGTTAGATTTGTCAAATACTTTTTAATGCTTATATATATATATATATATGATTGTATGCTATTTATTCTCTACTTTGTGATATATTGTATTATATAAACTCATTTTTGAATGTTGCATCACCTTCCATACCTAGAGTAACTTCCAATTGATTATGGTATATAATTCTTTATATACACTGCTTAAATTGATTTACTCATAGTTTTCAAAGGTCTTTGACCTTCCACAATCTATTGGCAAACACTTACTCCTCTTGTATTTGCTAGGAAAAAATGTGTAAAATTGGCTTTAACTGTTTTTCATTTTATTTCTTGTTATTTGAGAATTAGGACTTTTCCCTCTTTTGAAAACTGTTTTGTATTTCTGGCAGTACTGTGGTTTGGACTCAAGACCTCAAGATTGGTAGGCAGAGATTCTACAATTTGCACCATGTCCCCAGATCATAAACTGTTCTTTAAATATATTCTAGTACTCACCAATGAAACCCGCTTGACATTTTACTATCTCTAATATTAACTTTCAGCTTTAAATAAAAAATTTTCAGTGGTTATAAAGCTACTCAGATTACATATTTCCTCATGACTGAGCTTTGGTCATTTGTGGTTTTTAAGGAATTAGTTTATTTCTTCCAAGTTGTCAAATATGTGAGGATGTAATTGTTCCTAGTATAACTTCTTGTCCTTTTAATGGCTGCATGATCTGCAGTGATACTTCCTGATTTTAGTGATATTTATATTCTTTATCTTTGTTCATCTCACTAGAGGCTTGTCAATTTTTATCAATTTTAGAGGAACCACATTTTCACTGATTTTCATTACTGCTTTCCTATTTTAATTTCATTGATTTCTGATTTTATCTTTATTAGTTTCTTTCCTCTATTATTTTCTCTTTCTCTGTCCACCTCCACTGTGTTATCCAACGGCTTTCAGTGTGTTCTTTCTTCCATGTTTATAACAGAAACAATGAATTTTCAAATTATTCAATCTCCATCATTCTCTTTTCCTATCCCACCTCCATCTATTTATGTATAGATTTATCTTTATCTTTTAGGTCTAACTTCATATGAGGGAGAAAATTCAACCTTTGTCTTCTGAGCTTGGCTTATTTTGCTTAACATGATGATCCCCAGTTCCATCCATTTACCTGCAAGTGTCATTATTTCATTCTTCTTTATATCTGAATAATAGTGCATAGTGTATATATATACTGGGGTTTGAACTTGGGGATTTGCATTTGCTAGACAGGAGCTCTACTTCTTGAGTCATGTCTCCATCCCCTATGTCATGTTTTTGAACACACCACTTAGTATAGTTTTGTTAGTAGTTGCTCTGGGTATTATGGTATGTACCAGTAAGTTATCACAATTTGTTGATGCTGACTTTATTAATATTTCACTTTGTGTAAATGTGGAAACCTTACTTTTACTTGATTCCTTTCATGATATCCACAATTGAGTTAACATTGAGGATTTCTTTTACATATTTTCAGTACCACATCAGATAGAGATATAATTTTTATTTTAATCATCAAATACAATTAAAGAAATCCATGAGAAGGATGGTCTATTGTATGCCCCTTTATTTATTTATAAATGGAAGTTAGGCTAAGCCCTCCTTGGATTGAACTATTCCTTCAAATCAAATTCCCTTCTGTATCTATCTCCTTTCTTCAAGCCTTTCACTTCTGTGCCCTTCTCTTCTCTTATCTGAGTGAGATACTGATGTGTCTGGCTGGCCAACCTTCTCTTTCGTTGGCATTGAAGCTGTATTTCAATATGCTTCAGAGTGGCTCTCTCAGGTAATGGTCAAGTCATAACTATTACCTGATGCAACCCAGTCAATAGCCCTATAGTGACTATTTTTTTCCCAATTTCTCTAAGGTTTAATTTTTTATGTATGTTATTAAATTTTTATGTTTTTCATTCATTTTATTCATATTTCCTATATATCTTAATGTTTTATTTTATCATTTTGCATTAATTTATGTGAATACATTGTTCCCACCCACCCACCCCCTCCCCCACTGCTTGGGCCGAATCTGTTCTGCTCTCTTGCTCGGCAATTTTGTTGAAGAGATAACATAGGTGATAATAAGAAAAACATAGCATATTTTTGCTAATTTGAGATAAAGATAGTTACACAGAGATTCCTAGCATTGCTTCCATGCACTTGTGTATTGCAGCCCCAATGGGGTCATTTTTGTCAGACCTCTTCACTACTTCCTGGTCCACTTCCCATAGTGGCCTCTGTCAGTTTAAGATTACATTGTTCATTCCTATACAGTGAGCACATCAACCACATCCAAGTTTTAAGTTTCCTTTGCTTTCTCTATTCCTCCAGCGTGCATTCTCCCCTTAGCGTGTAACTTATATCCAATAATTTACTGCATTTGCTTTAGGTCTATAATCTGCATATGAAGGAGAACGTGCAACTTTTGGACTTCTGAGCCTGGCTAATGCCTAAGATGATGTTGTCCAGTGCCATCCATTTACTTGCAAATGACAATTTCATTCTTTATGGCTGAGTAAAATTCCATTGTGTATAAATACTACATTTTCTAAATCCATTAGTTGGTAGTGGGGCATCTTGTCTGTTTCCATAGCTTTGCTGTTGTGATTAGTGCTGCAGTAAACATTGGTGTGCAGGTGCCTTTGTAATAAATTGAGTCACATTCCTTTGGGTATATCCCTAGCAGTGCTATTGCTGGATCATATGGTAGATCTATGTTTAGTTTTTTAAGAAGCCTCCATACCGTCTTCCAAAGTGGTTGTAGTATCTTACATTCCCACCAGCAGTGTATGGGAGATCCATTTTCCCTGTATCCTTGCTAACATTTGTTGTTGTTGGTGTTCTTGATGATGGCTATTCTAACAGGAGTGAAGTGGAATCTTACTGTGGTTTTGATTTGCATTTCCTTCATGGCCAGGGATAGTGAGCACTTTTTCATGATCTTTGGCCATTTGGACTTCTTCCTTTGAAAAAGTTCTGTTTAGTTCAGTTGCCCAGTTCTTTATTGGTTCATTAATTTTGGGGGAGTTTTGTTTTTTGAGCTCCCTGTATATTCTCATTGTCAGTCTCTGTCTGATGTATAGCTAGCAAGTATTTTATCTCATTCTGTGGGTGGTCTCTTCAATTTACAGACCACTTTTTCTGTCATGCAGAAAGTTTTTATTTCATGTAATTCCAATTTGTCAATCCTTTCTCTTAATTGCTGGTAAGCTTGTGCATTCTACTGAGGAAGTCTTTGCCCTATACCTATTGCTTCTAGTGTATTCCAGGCAATTTCCTGTACTAACCTCAAGATTTCAGGTATGTAATTAAGGTTTTCTTTCTCAATTTGTTTCATTGTTTTTATAGATATGCTACTGATTTTTTATTTTTTTTTTTCTTTTATTATTTTCATTCATTTTAGATTATTCATATGTGCATACAAGGCTTGGTTCATTTCTCCCCCCTGCCCCCACCCCCTCCCTTACCACCCACTCCCCCCCCTCCCTCTCCCCCCCCTCAATACCCAGCAGAAACTATTTTGCCCTTATTCTAATTTTGTTGTAAGAGAGTATAAGCAATAATAGGAAGGAACAAGGGTTTTTGCTGGTTGAGATAAGGATAGCTATACAGGGCATTGACTCACATTGATTTCCTGTGCGTGGTGTTACCTTCTAGGTTAATTCTTTTTGATCTAACCTTTTCTCTAGTTCCTGGTCCCCTTTTCCTATTGGCCTCAGTTGCTTTAAGGTATCTGCTTTAGTTTCTCTGCTTAAGGGCAACAAATGCTAGCTAGTTTTTTAGGTGTCTTACCTATCCTCACCCCTCCCTTGTGTGCTCTCGCTTTTATCATGTGCTCAAGTCCAATCCCCTTGTTGTGTTTGCCCTTGATCTAATGTCCACATATGAGGGAGAACATACGATTTTTGGTCTTTTGGCCAGGCTAACCTCACTCAGAATGATGTTCTCCAATTCCATCCATTTACCAGCAAATGATAACATTTCGTTCTTCTTCATGGCTGCATAGAATTCCATTGTGTCTAGATACCACATTTTCTTAATCCATTCGTCAGTGGTGGGGCATCTTGGGTGTTTCCATAACTTGGCTATTGTGAATAGTGTCGCAATAAACATGGGTGTGCAGGTGCCTCTGGAGTAACCTGTGTCTTTTGGGTATATCCCCAAGAGTGGTATTGCTGGATCAAATGGTAGATCGATGTCTAGCTCTTTAAGTAGCCTCCAAATTTTTTTCCAGAGTGGTTGTACTAGCCTACATTCCCACCAACAGTGTAAGAGGGTTCCTTTTTCCCTGCATCCTCACCAATACCTGTTGTTGGTGATGTTGCTGATGATGGCTATTCTAACAGGGGTGAGGTGGAATCTTAGTGTGGTTTTAATTTGCATTTCCTTTATTGCTAGAGATGGTGAGCATTTTTTCATGTGTTTTCTGGCCATTTGAATTTCTTCTTTTGAGAAAGTTCTGTTTAGCTCACTTGCCCATTTCTTTATTGGTTCATTAGTTTTGGGAGAATTTAGTTTTTTAAGTTCCCTATATATTCTGGTTATCAGTCCTTTGTCTGATGTATAGTGGCAAATATTTTCTCCACTCTGTGGGTGTTCTCTTCAGTTTAGAGACCATTTCTTTTGATGAACAGAAGCTTTTTAGTTTTATGAGGTCCCATTTATCTATGCTATCTCTTAGTTGCTGTGCTGCTGGGGTTTCATTGAGAAAGTTCTTACCTATACCTACTAACTCCAGAGTATTTCCTACTCTTTCTGTATCAACTTAGAGTTTGGGTCTGATATTAAGATCCTTGATCCATTTTGAGTTAATCTTGGTATAGGGTGATATACATGGATCTAGTTTCAGTTTTTTGCAGACTGCTAACCAGTTTTCCCAGCAGTTTTTGTTGAAGAGGCTGCTATTTCTCCATCGTATATTTTTAGCTCCTTTGTCAAAGACAAGTTGCTATAGTTGTGTGGCTTCATATCTGGTCCTCTATCTGTTCCACTGGTCTTCATGTCTGTTTTTGTGCCAGTACCATGCTGTTTTTATTGTTATTGCTTTGTAATATAGTTTGAAGTCAGGTATAGTGATACCTCCTGCATTGTTCTTTTGACTGAGTGTTGCCTTGGCTATTCGTGGCCTCTTGTGTTTCCATATAAATTCACAGTGGATTTTTCAATGTCTTTAATGAATGTCATTGGAATTTTGATGGGAATTGCATTAAACATGTAGATTACTTTGGGAGTATCGATATTTTTACTATGTTGATTCTACCAATCCATGAGCATGGGAGATCTTTCTATAGTCTTCCTCAATCTCTTTCTTCAGAAGTTTATAGTTTTCCTTGTAAAGGTCATTCACATCTTTTGTTAGGTTTACACCTAGGTATTTGATTTTTTTTGAGGCTATTGTAAATGGAATTGTTTTCATACTTCTTTTTCCATTTGCTCATTGTTAGGTAAAGAAATGCTAAATGATTTTTCTATGTTTGATTTTATATCCTGCTACCTTGCTAATAGCTATTGATGATGTCCTAAG